CATAGGAGGAGATTGCCTGTTCTTCTCCCATGAGGAAGCTGGTGGATTTGAACCACATTCCTTTGTCTTGGCAACACAATGCTTTACCACTAAGCCACCAGAGCTCCCTTTTGGGTATAACATTAATATGCTGTCAAGTTAACTCATCATGATCCTGTAAACAACGGCTCTGAACCTTGCCCCATCCTGAGCCAACCTGACCATCTCTAACACACCTGACCTCATTACCACAGTCTCTGGGTCGGTTTATCTCATCTGGGCTCTTCCTCTTCTGCTCTGACCCTCCACCCTTCCAAGCTCCATGTCCTTCTTCGAGGACTGGTCCATCCTGGCAACATGTGCAAAATATGTGAGACAGAGTCTCAGAATCCTCCCCTCCAAGGAACAGCCTGGTTTTACCCTCTCCCAGACCGACTTGTAACCATTATTTTCATAGTAAAAAAACTTGCTTACTGGTAGATTTAAAAACTCTGCGACTTGGCGGCCCTTAACAACAACACAACAACAATGTTGCATAACTGTTAATGTGGCAGAGTAGTCTGTTGAGGTCAAGGACTGCACGTGGAGTGAGAACAGGGTGTCTTGGACCCGAGTTTGAATCCTGGCTGGCCTCTTCACAGCTGGGTGCTTGTGACCACATGCCTGGATGTCTCTGTGCCTCGCTTTATATAATGGCTGCTTTGGAGGTTAATGCGGGCACCTTAACTGGGGTGTTGATGGGCTGTGTTTGACAGGGTGGCCAGTGAGAGCAAAACTCTTCTTCCTCTGCCTTCCTAGTCAAACCAGTTCCAAGACTGAGCTGTGGTAAACTCCCATTTCTACTAGTAATGGTTAGTTTCCTGTTTTGTTTTAGGTCAAAATTGTCTCTATTAACACATCTCTGAATAGCTTGGCCAGCAGCCTTAATGAACCCATGTACCCTTTCACCATCCACCCAGCTTTTCATTTTCAGTTGGAATCATTTAATTTAGGGAGAATCATTCCAGTGCCCTTTCTCATAGAGCATTTGGTGCTCAGGAACAGGTTAAAATGGTGCAGCAGAGTAATGCTAACTTACTAAACTTGCAATGGAAGGTTTAGTGGTTTTTTTCTGCCAACGTTTCTTCTGAGAGAATTAGATGTGAAACTGAACTAATTAACATGGTTGTGGGGAGGGGCCAGGAAAGCGCAAGTGTCAGGCTGAGGGTGTCAGAGGAAGGGAATGACCTTTGGGAATTATGTGGCCCAGTGAAAGGAATTGAGTCCAGATGGGGCTGTGCTGTGTCCTTTATCCCAAACCTTGGCCAGCCCGTGTCCAGTCCCCCACATGTTGGTTGATTGTTATCACCAGTCCTCAGACAAGCAGTGTCCCCCGAGGCCATGACCACAGACTGGATCAGCCCGTGGACACCTAGAGCAAGGCTTCATTCTGAGAGAACGTTCTGGAGAATCTCGTTGATTGATCAGAGCTGTCTTTACAAACTGCCCTTCAGCCGAGAGAGGTTGTGTCTCAGCCACTGCCCCTTGTACCCTTGTGGGGGAGATCCATGAGACTGGGTTAGACTGAAGTTCTTGCACGTCTCAGCTTGGGTCTCTCTGAGATAAATAGGGACCATTTTGGAATTTTGTTCAGATATTGGTCTTCTGGGTAAAGATTTCCTTGGAATGAGTTACTTTTTGGAAATTCAGCAATTGAATATTTTGGGTGGGACCCCAGATGTTCCTTTCATCGAATTCTATATTCAGTGTTTAAAATAAGTCATATTGAAAGAGATTTAAGTTGAAATTGGAGAGCAGAGATTCTCAGCTCCCCATGAAATAACTGTTTACATGGAGAGAAGTGTCTGAAATCACTTTCTTGGAGTGTTTCTACCTCTACTATGAAATCGTTAATAAGGCTATTTGATAAGATGTGTTGGATAATGAAATAAAACAAATACTTAAATGCTCAGTATAATTTCTAGCACATACAGAGTAGTCAACACACATTAGCAGTTAATGTGACACATTGTGATACTGTATCTATTTTTCTTTCTTCTCACCTCCCTTTCCTTCAGATCTTGTTTGTTTAGAGAATGTATCACAGAGCACAGTTAAAACCAGTCTTTCTAATCATTGGATTGTGCGTTCCTCTTTGTGCATCATTTGAGGGTATCTAACTAAAGCCATCTGTGTCGGATAACTGTGTAACTGGTGTAGTTTCCATGATTGATTAGTTATGAAAACCAGACATGTAAGATAACTTGCTCAAATCCTCATGTATTTCTAACATTTTCACCTAAGTCTGGTCTTGGAAGCTGTGGGCAGTTCTGTTCTGCCTTGGGAGCTGCCCACTAAAAGTTGTCATTGACTCAAAAGCAAATGGTCCTTGTTTTTGGTTTTTAAGGTGACAAAGCAAGAAATGAACTTACCCAGAAATTTCATTTCTACAACAGTTTCATAGTTATGTTTTCATCTCAGATGTTAGGTTGATGCTGAGCTTTCATTTAGTTGCAGCAGTGAAAATGACTGCCTTTGAACTTGTTTGCATTGAAATGAATTGGTTGTACATATTGATAACACTGGTAGGTGTCTTTCTTTGGTGGTGGTGCTGTTTACCAGCAAATAAAAATATCAATAAAATGGGTGCTCATTGAAGAGGATCTGCTGCTTTTTGTTGTACCCCACCAGTGCTTAGTGGTGTAATGGCTTCCCTTTTATATTAAAATACTGTATTTTATGTGTGGAGAAAGTGACCCTTAAGAAATGGATGTTGTGAAAAAAAACCTATTGACTTGGGACAAATCATTTGACAATATCCATTCAGACAAGGGTCTCATATCAAAAGTTTACAGAATGAAAAAAAAAGTTTACAGAATGTTATAGGACCTATACAAGAAAAAGATTGATAACAAAATTATAAAACTGATTCATTAAAAAGAATTAAAAACCTTAAAAAAAGATGGATATTGTAAAGCAACTATGAGATATCATCTCACCCTAATAAGAGCAAAATTTATCAGATCAGCAAACAACAAATGCTGGTGAAGTTGCAGAGAAACTGTTGGTGGGAGTGTAAAATGGTAGAACCACTGTGGAAGGCTGTATGACACTTTCTCAGAAGGTTGGAAATAGAAATACTATTTGATCCAGCAGTTTGTCTACTGGGCATATACCCTAGAGAAACCAAAACTGCCACCCAATCAGATATATGCACACCGACGTTTATTGCTGCTTTGTTCACAATAGTAAAGAACTGGAAATGACTCATGTGCCTATCAACAAATGAATGGATAGAGAAGCTGTGGTATAGTCACACAATGGAATACTACGCTGCATTGAAAAACAAGGAACTTATGAAATATTATACAAAATGGGTGACCCTGGAAGACATTATGCTGAGTGAAATGTCTCAATCACAAAAGGACAAATACTGCATGGTGCCACTGTTGCAAAGCGGGACTGACATCGACTTTGGGGGGAAACTAAGAAAAGAAGGAATAAACAATGTATACTGCATTGAAACAGATGAGGGAGAGAACTGTTTAAAAGGAATATATGAATAGGTATTATTTTCATGACAAGAGTCCAGAATAAGAGCTGCATAGTGAAGTCGACTGGGGAGCGGGGGATTGTATAAAAATAAAAGAGGTTTGTTTTTTTTTCCTTTTCATAGAGGAAAGTAAGCTGGGGGGAGGGGTGGGCAGGGAGGAAAATGTGCAACAATGAATGAATGGAAATCCAAAGTCTCTATAGCCTTTCATTAAAATGTTAATAAAAAAAGAAATGGATGTTGTCTGGTTTAGCTCCTATGGGATACTCTGTTCTAACTTCAGAAATTGAATGTCTTTCTGTTCATCATGCATCCTTTTCATTTCTACAAAACCTAATTAAATTATACTTGACTTACCTGAAATGTTTTCAGCTACATACTGTAGTTTGGGTGAAAGTTACAGAACGAGTCTCCTTCTCCACTCAGTAATAGGCACGTTTTATTTGATGGCTTTGGTTGCCATCCTTACAGTATAATAGGACTCAGTCTTTTTTGAGGAATAAATGAGCTGCCTTTCCATAGTTCCTACCTCATTTTAAATCCACACCAGTGTCACCACACACAGATATTCCGATTTCTCCATGTTTTTTCTCTTCCTCAATCCCAGATAATAATAGCTAACTAACCCCTTGAGTGTGAAGTAGGGTCATTGACGTTTGATTTGCATTTTCCTGCTGACTGTTAACGTGGAGGAGCTTTTCATATGCTTATTGGCCATTTGTATCCACTTTGGAAGAAATGTCTGTTCTCCCTCCTCACTTTTGGGTGAGTGAAAGTGCCACCTCCCCTTTTTGGAGACTTTCTGTCCCCTCGGTGTATACATTTGCCTTTCCCCGTGTTGTTTCCGCCAAGACACCAGACACCGATGATTGTTGAGGGGTCATCCACATCCTCCTGCGTCCAAGGACTGTGATTGTGATGTGAACACTGCTGTTGAGAATGGCTGAGAAACAAGGAGCCTGGTGCCCTGGATGGCCGGCCAGCTCAGGGCCCCGCCAGCTCAGGGCCCCACCAGCTCAGGGCCCCACCAGCTCAGGGCCCCGCCAGCTCAGGGCCCCACCAGCTCAGGGCCCCACCAGCTCAGGGCCCCGCAGCTCAGGGCCCCACCAGCTCAGGGCCCCACAGCTCAGGGCCCCACCAGCTCAGGGCCCCACCAGCTCAAGGCCCCGCCAGCTCAGGGCATCAGAGAAAGATGTGTCTGCAGGCCAAGGGTCACCAGGGAGAAACGCCCACCAGGTGTGTCTGGATGTCCTCACGCATTTGTTTGTGGGTCAGTGCAGGGCAATATTGTGCCAGGCACGTCTGTGACCCCCTAAAGGCAGGACACGTTCAAGCTGGGCTCTCAGCATCAGTCTTAGATAGATTCCTCCGGAGAAGTAAGGTTTTACACGATCAGCCCACACGTCTTCAAGTTCACTTAGATGCAGAAAAGATTGTCATCTTGCTCTTGTTTGTAACTCAAATGTTGAACTTGCTTGTTCCTTTTCAGGGTGAAGAAACCAAAAGCCTGACGCTAGTCCTCCATCGCGACTCTGGTTCCCTGGGCTTCAACATCATCGGTGGGCGGCCCTGTGCGGTAGGTTCCTGGCTGAAATGCTGTACCCCTTATCCACATGTGGTAGACCGAGGCCCTCAGAGGCTGGAAGGTCGAATGGCTGACTCACTTCGTTCTAGTCTCTGGCGTTAGAGATTTCCCTGTTTATCTAACATCCTGACACTCAGGGTCCTATCCTGAGGAGTGGTGGTCTCCTAAAATAGCATGGTTTTAGTAACACAGCGGCCAATCTAGCTGTGTACCTTGTAGGAGGTGTTTCTCGTGTAGTGATTGGACTGAATGACGTTGTGTGTGACGTGTACAGTTGGAACCGGGTTACAGTCCTGTTCCTTCCTCAGCTGGGCTGGAGGGTGGGAGCCCACGCTGGGCATCTGGACCCTAAGTTGTGCTCCATCATAGCCTCATCACTCACTGGTGTCCTCTGTGGATAACTGTTCCCCTTCCTCTTGCTTCTCCTCCCCCCCCACCCCGCATCATCAGCACCTTCTGCAAAGAAGAGGCCAAGTACAGATCTGCCAGTTTAACTTGGGGGTGGGGGAGAGGGTGGGAGTGTTTGCAGAAAGGGCTGGGGGGAGGGAGCGCAAGGTGTGCCCAGGTAGGCACCTTTCAGATAGGTTGTCTGAATGTGTGCAGTTGTCCCAAAGGAAAAAGAAAAGAATGTGGCATCAGTACTGGAGGGAGACTTATCAATAACCTGCATTATGAAGATGACACAACTTTGCTTGCTGAAAGTGAGGAAGACTTGAAACACTTCTTGCAGAAGATGAAGGAACGCAGCCTTTGATATGGATTGCATCTCAATGTCAAGAAGACAAAAATTCTTACCACTGGACCAATAGAGGGTATCATGAGAGAGAGAGAAAAGAGTGAAACTGTCAACAATTTCATCTGACTTGGAACCAGCTCCCCTGGTAAAGGCAGTCAGGAAATCAGACATAATACACTGAAAAAGTCGGCAGTTAGGGACCTCTCCAAATTACAGAGAAGTCAACTAGACTGGCTTATTTTTAATGATGTCAGTTTGAAGACTAAGGTGCATCTGATTCAGGCCAGGGTTTTTCTGATCATTTGCTGTGTATCTGGGAGCTGGGTAATGAATAAGGATGACAGAAGAAGCATTGATGCTTTTGAGCTGTGGTGTTGGAGAAGAGCACTGACCATCCCATGGACGGCCAAGAGAACAAACGGCTATATCTTGGAGAAGGTGCAGCCAGAGGGCTTTTTGGAGGCAAAGATGATAAAGCTTCATCTCACATACTTCAGGAATGTGCAGCTTTAAAGAACTAAGATTCACTTGGCTTTGGGTTGTAGAAGCTTCTTGAAGATCTAAGGATCTAAACTTGGAAGAACATACTCACCTTTTTTGCCTCAGGTCTGGACACATTGACGTGTCCTTAGGAAGGAGAGCCTCAGGTCTGGAGTACACTGGAAACAGAGAGTGTCTCAGGCTTTGTGATTGCTGGGAAGCTGCTGGTGCCGGGGAAGAGGGTGTTTGTTTTCGCTCCGTCACCAGGAGTGAAATGACATCACCAGGCTGGAACTCAGGTCCACGCAGCCTCCCAAAGACTCGCTCTGGGTGGATTCCTTTTCCTTCAGACAAGTGATACATATAAGACAAACTAGACAGAATTTGGCTGATTTGAAAAGTGTATCCGTTTCTGTGGTCTTTTTTTGAAGAGCTGCTTATGTGAGTAAGACCCAATCTCATCACAGACTTGTGCATCATTCTTGTTTTGTTTTTGTGCATTGTTTGTTTGTTTAAACTCGACCTAACTAGGAGAAATAGCTTCATGAAACCTGCATGTATTCTGAACTGACGCCTGGAAGTCTGGGAGGTCATGAAGAACATTCTAGAAAGCCAGGATGAGCAACAATGCACCCACATTGTTAGTTCCGGGAAGTTGAACGTATTGCAGAGTACAGGATAAATGATGTGCTTGTTTCCAAAGAATTCTTGTGTTAAAATGCTTGGCTGGGTTGTGAAATAGCCCAGCTGGGGAGCTCTGACATAAGGTTTTTCACAGCATAATGCAGGACGTAGTGCTCTTAGCAAAACCACATCGTTAGTTCACTGGTCCTCATATCCCAGCGAAAGAGCAGCCAGTTTAGTGTAAGAAACCTCTCGTGTAAGCCCTTGGTGAGGATGCTTCCTTGTCAGACACTCCTGGAAGCACACACTCCCTTTCATTTTTCTTTTACACAAATCAGTGAAACAAAGTAAGTCTCAAGTCGTGTTAGTTTACCTTGATAAATAGCTCTAATGTGTTAGGAGAGGTGCTAAGGACATTGGGAATACAGAGATGTCTTTTAAGATACAAATGTATCCCTCAAGAAGGGACTTGATCTGGTTTTCTTTGATTCTGTACTTTTTGTTTGGTTTGGTCTGGTTTTAACCCCATCACCATCCCTCAACCCCAGCTTAATGTAGCCTGAGTTCTGGTCCTTAGCTTTTCTGTTCCTCTCAGGGTTTTGCTTGAACTTTCTGATGCTGTTAAGAGAAATTGTTTGTATTCAGTATAGTTTGCAGAACAAGCCATAGCCCAAATCCCTATCTCTCTCCTTCTCCAGCCAAAAAACCCCACCCCCAAACGAAGCCAGTGAGCTCGAGTGTACACAGATCTCTTTGCATTTTGAGGTATTGACATCAGCTCTTAGGGAGCTCAAGCTTGTTTGGAAATTCTTTGCGGTTTGCTGAGAGCCGTCGTGTTCTTTTCACTGGAAGAGTCCACAGTCTGGCAGCTTGGAGTTTTGAATTAGTACACTTTGTGAGGGTTTCCTCAGTGGGAGATAGTTGTACACACAGGGCATGTGCTAGAGAATAAACCTTTGTAGAGTGTGAAAACCAGCTCTATCATGTGCTGTGTGACAGCACTGAGGTCGTGACCCACTCTGAGTTTCTGATTTTTTCCATCTCTGATATGGACATAAAAGTGCTCGCTATTTGGGATTTTGGGAGTCCTGGTGGCCTGGTGGCATGAAGTTGCGCTGCCTAACTAACTGAAGGCATGCAGTTCGAATCCACCAGCTTCTCTGTGAGAGAAAGATGGCCAGCCGCCTCCTCTGTGATTCACAGCCTCCGAAGTCCTGCCGGAGGGAGCTCTGAGTTGTTTCAGGCTCAGCAGCACATCCCAGCCACAGCATCTGGGGTGACTTGGAGGATTAAATGATAGGCACCGAGCATCCAGTGCCTGCCAGGTGTGTGCTCAAAGGTGGGAAGCCGCTGTTCAGCCTGCAGGTCTCTGTAAGGAACGGCCGGAGGAGGCTGCGTAGACGTGCTGGGCTAGCACATCAGCGAGGCTGCAGAGATGGAGGAAGGAGGCACGAGGGCTCTTCAGGCTGTAAAGGGTTATTGTGCGGGATGCCGGGCAGGGCGCTGTGACGTGAGGCAGGGATGCCTTAGAACAGGGCTGACCCTCCGCTCCAAGGTGGTTGATGGAGTCCAGACGGCTGGGAGCTGGGACTGTGCCACATGGGGATAGATGCTGGCAAGCACTTAGAGCTCACCTTCGGTTGTGATTTCTTACCCTCGTTGATTAATTGCTCTGTGTATCAGGGGGTGAGGGGGAGGGTAGGTCTACGTGTTCCCTACTGCTCTCATTGCTGTTGAGTTTGAAGGGGCAAAATGAACCACACGTGGTCACATCTCTTCCTCTTCACAACATAGAGCTCTGTTAACGTCTTATTTGTGTGGTTTTCTTTAACAAATAGAGGTTTTGTAGATCTACATATGTTATATATTGAAACAGACTCCTTCTAGCATGAGGTCTTACAATGGGGGACAGATGGGCGGTCTCTTCCGCATTGCAGTCTGGGAAACCCAGTGGAGGGTCAGCTAGCATTTGATTTTACCTCAAAGTGATTGCTATTTTTTTAATAAGAGTTATGGCAAGAAATTGACTGTGATTTTGTAGTTTTTGTGGAAGATTCTGAACTTTTTTTTGTGGAGAAGCAACCTAGGTTTAATTTATAATTCTCTTCATCATGAGAAATAGAATCTACACATGGAGAGACAATTCATCTCAGTATGTTTGAAAGAAATTCATGGACAAGCTGTGTGGTGTTCTTTTTAAAAATTTGCTTGTTGGAAACTTTTGATTTTCAGAAAAGGAAATGGGTTTTGAAATGAGCTGTCTTTTCCCCCTGGAAGTTGCAGTCCTGACTTTTAGAGATCTGGAGGGATTTAAGGAGATTGGGAGTAGTTGGAATTCATAAGGGAGGGGTGAGTGGTGGGGCTTCTTGATGCAAATCAGAACAAAAATGAAATACCTAACAGTGATGTCAGTTTGAGGACGAAGATGTGCCTGATCCAGACCATGGAGCTGGACAGTGAGAAAGGATGAGAGAAGAAGAATGATGGATGAGTGAGTAAGGATGAGAGAAGAAGAATTGATGCCTTGAAGCTGAGGTGTTGGAGAGGAGCACTGAACATCCCATGGACTGACCGAAGAACACATCTTTGAGAAGGTGCAACCAGAGGGCTCCTTGGAGGCAAAGATGATGAAACTTCATCTCACATACTGTGGGTGTGTTGCTAGGAGAGTCTGCTCATTGGAGACAGACATCATTCTTGGGAGGGGAGAGGGTCAGTGAAAGAAGGGAAGACCCTCAACCAGGTGGATTGACACAGGGGCTGCAGCAGTGGACTCGAGGGCGTTGGAGGTTGTGAAGATGGCATAGGATAGAGCAGGGTTCAGATCTCTTGTTCATAGGGTTGTTCTGAATGCTCGACTCGACAGCTCGTTACAACAAGAACAACAACTTTGGTAATATTGTTAGATATTTAAGAGTCTGATAGCACTCTGTGCTAGGGAGAATGTAAGAAAGCACTCATTATTCCTGTTAATTGATATTAGGTGTCCTTTCTGGAGACCTAGTTGGTATAGCTTGCGCTTATGCAGGGAGTCCTGGTGGCCTAGTGGTGCTACCAACCCAGAGAGATGTGGGTCCATTCCACTGATTGCTCCATGGGAGAAAGATGACCAATCTCCCGTCCCCTTGGCTGTACAGGAAAACCCACTGGAGGATCAGCTATGGGTTGGTTCTGACTTGACAGTTATAACAATAGCGGTCAAATACACAGTGTCTTTGAGCTAACAGTTCCATTGCTAGGGACTTTTCATAAGTATGGTGGTTGTTATGTACCGTTGAATTGACTACAGCTCATAGTGAGCCTATCAACATATGACCTGTGTCGTCTCCTCCATGCTCCAGACCATTGAGGGCACTGTGTCAGGTCATCTTGTTAAGGGTCATCCGCCCCTCTGCCAGCCTTTCCCAGAAGGAGGTCTTTTTCCCAAGGACTGGCCCTTGGTGACAACACCGCCAAAGGCTGTGAAAAAGCTTTCATCAACCTTGCCTGTAAGGAGAACCCTGGGTGCACTTCCTCTCAAATGGATTTATCTTTTGGAATTCCTTGAGATATTCCATGCTCTTCACCAGCACTACAGTTCAAAGACATCAAGTCAAAGGCACATTTGTACATGTGGTGTTGTTGTTAAATGCCATCAAGTCAAGTACAACTCACAGTGACCCCATGAACGAAAGATCTGACCCTGTTCTGTCCTGTGCCATCCCCCTACTTCCACACGCGAGCCCATTGAGGCGGTCACTGCATCAATCCACCTGGCCAAGGGTCTTCCTCTCCTTCACTTACCCTCCACCATTCCCAGTATCATGTCCCTCTCCAAGGAATAGCCCCTCCAGCAACACGCCCAAAGTATGTGAGGCAAAAACTCTTCATTCTTGCATCCAAGGAGCACTCCGGCTTCACCCTCTCCAGGGTGTATTTGTTTGTTCTCTTGGCCGTCCATGGGATGTTCAGTGCTCCTCTCCAACACCACAAATCAAGGGTGTCAGTTCTTCTGTCTTCCTTATTCACTGTCATAAGTATGGATGAGCGAAAATACTGACATGGCTATATTACCACAGCTTTAAGGTATAGTATGTGATGTATTGGAATGCTGACTGAATGGTGGGTGGTTTAACTATGCCCACCGTTCCTCCGGAGAAAGACGAGAAGTCTCTTAAGACATGCAGCCTCAGAAAACTAAGAAATGGACTACTATGAGTTGGAATCAACTTAAAGGCATTTGGTGGATTATTGTCTATACTAACAACAATAAAAAACAATGTCAGCTCTGTTTATACATTAAAAAAGGAGAGAGAGAGAGAGAAGGAGAGAGAGGGAGGGAGGGAGGGAGGGAGAGAGAGAGAGAGACAAAGAGAGATCTAATAATGTAAGATGGCTAAGATTCAAGTGAGAGAGAGGGTAAGGCGTTCAAATGAGCAGCAGAATCCCACGAATGTGCATTGAAAGGAACAGGCGTGTTTAGGAGGGTGGTGCATTAGAGCGTGTTGTCAAGGACGCATCAGCTGAAAACGGAGCCTGTGTAAGGGGAGGTGCAGCAGGCACGGGTGGCAGTCTTACCTGGTTCTCCCACTCGGTTTATGACGTGATGATGGATTTTATCATGCATGTATGTTATCCATGTATGGTGCACAGGGTGAAGTGCTTGACTGCTGGCTGAAAGGTTGGTGGTTTGAACCTATCCAGAGACAGGCCTGGTGGTCTGCTCCCAAAAGGGTTGTGGTCTTTAAAAGTGCATGGAGCAGTTGTGTTCTGCACATTAAGGTATCACCAGGAGTTGGAATTGATGGGACAGCAACCACAAATATGTTAGCTTTTGTTGAAAATAAAACATCAGCACTTTTGACCCCAAGTGCCAGTTATTGTTGCACGAGTGTGAGCGTTATTTTCATGACCAGCCCAGTGCCTGACGCTCATGTGTGTGTCTTTTTTTAACCCCAAAGGACAATCAAGATGGATCATCCAGTGAAGGAATCTTTGTGTCCAAAATAGTTGACAGTGGGCCGGCGGCCAAGGAAGGAGGGCTGCAGATCCACGACCGGATCATTGAGGTACGTGCATGCCAGCCCGCGCCTTTGAATAGTCTCAGTGCCGGCTCATCTCTGTCCGGCTCAGAGCAGAGTGTTGGCTGGGAGAGGGAGGCCGTGACTAGGGGATGGCTGGGTGGGAGGCTGGCTTTTCTGATTGTGGGGGCCCAGGTTGATTGTTGATGGCTTTGGGGTTAAGATTTTGTCAAGTGTGAGGAGCTCTGTGACGTGTGGTGAGTTCAAGATTTGCCTGTTTCAGAAGAGGCGTGCGTCTGTTGAGCACACTTTGATTCAAGCTTGGTGTTGAGACCGTTGGACAGTTGTACGTTAACTAGAACCAGATGAATGATTCCTGTGATACAAATAGTGACTATTTGGGGGGGGAAAAACCCAACCAAACAAACAAAAAACAAACTGTGACTATTTGGATGAATTTCCAAGGTACGATTGTGTCCACTTAAGGTTTATTTTACTGTTGTTAGAGCTTATGGAAACCCTCTTGGTTCACACCATCACCAGCTTCTTCATTTCTAGGTCTTTGCTCATCATTTCCAAAGTCATAGAAAAATTTAATGCATTTGCATTGAGGGAAATGTCTCTTGTCAGCCCCATTGTGCGATGCTCTGAAATAGGGTTGCAGAATGTTGGAGGATTGTCCTGTAATGTGGAGAAAGGATTATCTGCTACTTCCTCAAACAGGTTCTTGTTGCATTGGTTGACATGAAGGACAACTCTGCTGTGGATATTCTCTTGACCATTTTGATGTCTCTGTCAATGAGCAAATACATGACTAATTTTGTTAGATCTTTTATTAAGAATTCAAGATGATATACCAAGTACCAAAATAAAGCACCCAAGGGTGTAACCATAACACAGTGCATGGTGAGCGGGATGCCAGAGAAATAGCGGTGAGGCCCATGTGTGTGTGTTGTCCCAAATATACAGGCTCAGTGCCTGTATCCCCAGAGGACCTTTCATGGCCCATTTCAAAACTTCAGGCAGTGTGGGAGCTGCAACCAAGAGATAAACTTTGAGTGGAGTTTTTGTAGCCCAGTGGACTGTGGGTGCATGCTCTCTCGGGCTCATCTGGGTGAACTCTGCCAAGTTCAGAGCAGTACATTTCAGAATAATTTATATCCTCAGGAAAATGTACAGCTAAGTCTCTTAGTGAAAGCAAACAGCTAGTTAGAGCTTAGGCGTCTCTCCTCTGATGGATGGAGCACAGTGTGGTAACTCAGGTATTAAAAGGTTGCTGGGTTTTGTTTTAAAGGCACTATTCATATTGTTACGTAGCCTGTGACTTTGTGAGATGTTGTCAGACGTGGAATTCTCTTAGCCACGAGTTTTAGGGCTATCTTTGTACTTTCCAGGTTGGGGAATGAATTTTCCTACCAGGAATTTCTTGGGCAAGAATGCTTTCTGATGTACTCAGATGCATATTGTCTGAGGTGTTGTGTGTGTGTGTGTGTGTGTGTGTGTGTGTGTTGTCTTTTTTTTTGTATGTGTGTGTGAGTGAATACATTTTCTGAGACTATTGTTCAAAAAGATAAGTACAGCTTTGGTTGCCAAGCGCTTGGTGGAACAGCCAGTTTCCCTCAGCAGTGGAATTCTGTTGCTCTTATGTTTTGCAAATGAGAAATCTACAGCTGGGTAGGATTTTCTCTTGGCAAAGAGGGATCTGTATTTGAAACGCTCAGGCCAGTTTCTGGTAAGTCACATGCCCCTCTTGGACTGTATGTGAAGTATTAATCATGCCCCAGTGTTGAGATGCAGAGACGACATACGTGTAATTGCAGCTGACGCACCATGCACTTCCCAGCCCACTTCTAATCTCTTTTGACACAGTGATTCCCGTGGCTTAAAAATATATATTCTCTGCCTCACCTTGTCTGTGTCTGAGTTTAATAGCGGGAGTGAATTTTATTATTTTAAGCTCTTTTTTATCACCACCAAATTCAGAGGCATTCTCCATTCACCCCAAATGTTTCCTGCTTCCCGTTTGAATGGTATTAGACCAGCTAATCCCAGACTTTCCACATAAGAACCCTAATGCTTGCAAATAGGTGCTGAGATTAAATCCATGGAGACCGTTCCTGAGTCGTGTATTTGCTGGGAAGTCTCTGCTTGTTGCTCTGTTCCTACTAGGTAGTCATTTGCCAAGACTGGAGCAGTGATTTTGAAGTATGTTGGACCCAGTCACCACCCGAGTTGTTTTTACAGCAGATACTTTTAAATGCCCCCCATGTTGTGGTTATGTGTCGTTGAGTGGGAACTGATTAACAGCTGACCATCCAGTAGCTTTTTAGAGGGAGTAAATTGTCCCTTTTTCTCCTATGGGACATTGGGTGGATTCAAACCATGTACCTCTTGGTTGGCAGTACAGCTTCTTAACACTCAGACACCAGAACTATAAAAAGGAATTCCTCCATTCATTGTGTGTGTGTACATTTGTGTTTTTTCCACTCATATGTAAATACATACTTTAGAAAGGTAAGTAGGAAAGTGGTAAATAAAGGAAGACAATTTATAATAAAGTTATGCACTGGTATGTAAAAATCGAGGGTGCTCTGGTGGTCGAGAGGGTAGGGAGTTGTGCTGCCAACCCCCAAACCAGGCGGTTCAAATGCTTTACCTGCCTCGTGGGAGAAGGATGTGCGTTCTGTTGTCATGTGCTTTATAGCCTCTGAAAATGCTCTGGCGAGTCAGCTAGGAGTTGGTTGTTTGAGGATAATGTCAGAGTTTGGGGACAGGGACACTAAACAACACTCTGAAGTGGCCCGGTGCCTCTTGCAGTCTCCTTGGGTTGCTGGGGCTCCTGGCCTGGACAGGAGGGAAGTGCTGGAGTCTGGGCTTGGGAGCAGCAGCCGCGTCCAGCCCTCAGGACGACTTGCCCCCAGTGGGGAACACACCCTGGTTCTGTTGAGAGCACAGCCAAGGCGGCCTCCCTCTGAACTATACAGGAGTTACGCTCCGGAGTCCTTCATGTGTATTAGCACTGCAGACAGTTCTTTGTATCTGTCCGCACTCAGGAGATGAACTATAGAAAGTTGATTTGACTGTGAATTTCTGATGGCGCTTGTGGAAGTTGTACTGGCAGCAGAATAACTCTGCCTTCTGTGAAATTTGGGGTGCTAGGTGAGTTGTGAAATTTGGGGTGCTAGGTGAGTCGTGGCACTTCTGGCATCCCTGGCTCCTCGGTAATCCCCCTGCTCACGCTTCCAGTGAAGATGCTCCTGGCAGAGGCTGGACTCCAGCTGCGGAGCGGCAGGTAGGAGCCACGGAAGGCTCATGGTGCGAGGTTTATATTCTTCTGCATCCTGGGGCCAGCATGCCAGCCTTGCGCCTATGATTCTCCCCAAGTGGTAGCCCTGAGTGAGCGCCCTGCCCTGTGCTCCCTGGCCTGAATAGGAGAACCTGGAGCTGGCTGGCCATCGTGAAGATACGGTCGAGAATCTCCATCAGCTCACCTGAGAGCTGAGAGCCCATCCTGCCCCCTGACGTCCATGTATCCTCATCCACCCTGAGCCAAGATGGACAGACGCCATGTCCTTCCAACTACACATCCCTTTCTAAGCCAAGTGATGTCCTACTACCTCAGTGTCCGCTTCTCCAGACATATGTGTGTGTGTGTGTGTGTGTGTCTTTTTCTTCCCTATGCACTATGGAGTCAATGGGTGGCCCAGACAGAGTTATTCTCTCAGCTACAAAGCTTGATGATTTGAGGGAGCTCTGGTGGCCTAGTGGCAAGACGCTGCACTGCAATCCCAGAGCTATGCAGTTCGAATCCACCAGATGCTCTGCTGGAGAAGGAGGGGCAATCTCCTCCTGTACCAGTCAGATCTGATTTGATGGCACACACACACACACACACAAAATAATGAAATAAAATTTAAAAAAAAGCTTGGCGATTTGAGTGGCCCTGTAGTATCTCAGAAGACAGTTTTGCCAGTCTGCTCCCCAAAGGTCCCAGTGACTGAAAAGCCTCAGATACACTCGTGGCATTTCCATGGGCTAGAATTGACAGGGAAGAAATTGCTTGATTTGGGGTTTCCATTGGACTGCCCCTCCCTCTTCCCAAGATTTCTGGCCTCACCTTTGAGTGATGCCCTGAGTACACATTTGGGAAGCTGAGTTCCGTTTTCCTGGGTATCTTTCCTCCTCATTTTAAACGGTAAGAACTGGAATAGCGGTAGTCTTCTGCCTCAGAGCCCGCTTTATAAACCACCTGTTACTGATGGGGGTGCAGCTCCTATATCTAACTTGGATGTCTGTTGTAAAATGGGACTGATATCAGGGTTGGGATAAGACAGAAAAATTGCATAAATTGTGTATACTGCACTGAAACAGATGAGGGAGTGAATAATTTAAAAGCGATGTATGATAGGGTCTTATGGTTATCACAAGAGTCCACAATTAAGGTTGCATAGTGGAATGTACTTGGGGTGGTGGGAGGGGTGCAGGGGGATTGTGTACCAGGGAAGGAGTGTTTCTTTTACTTTTGAAAGAGAGGAGTGAACTGGGGTGGGGGGGGCGGGTGGCGATGGATGGGCTGGGAGAGAAGTGCAACAATAAATGAATAGAAATCCAAAATCTCTGTAAATGCTCATTAAAATGATTTAAAAAAAGAACTATGGTTTGATTGTGTGAGACTTTGCAAACTTTGGAAGGATATTTTCCACTGCACGAGGTGGGGAGCAGCTGGACCTCTCTCCGTGGACTCTAGAGTCAATTGTAGACCAATCATATGCAGCTCAGTTCCCCTGAATGTTATTTAGGAGACTGGGAAAGATGGGGAGATCACATCAGAATAGCGTCACCATCAACATCTCCCAAATGGGGAGCCATGTGGGGAACAGGCCTTCTCTCAGTCCCACCAGCTGGCTTCTCTCAGCATTGAATCATCTCGTTGTTTCCTCTTTGGAGTTTCATGTGAAGTGTTTGGCTTGCTGTGTAAATATCCTGTTTGGCAAAATGTTAGCACCGAGGAAAAGTGCAAGGAAACCATGATTTCCTAAGAAATCAGC